CTTATTGGGATTCTGTCTGACTGATGTTAGTTCTGAATTCCTTAAGATGATTGCAGTGACAACGATAATAATATTACCGAGTGCTTAATACACAGACATTTTACAAATATTAACACACACACACACAAATCAAGTAGGAGACCTTCAGGTCATTGGGGGTCATACCCTCAAAGGGGATAATGTAAACTCTGCCCTTTCCTCCTTCTCTTCCTCCTTTCTTTGGAGGGTAAGGTAGTTTTTTCTTTTTCTAAATTTTTAAAATTTTTATTATTTTATGAGTGTATTGCCTGCATGTATGTAAGTGCACCCATGCTGTGCAATGCCCATGGAGATCAGAAGAGAGCATCAGATTCCCTGGAACTGGAGTTGCAGGTGATTGTTAGCTGCCATGTGGGTGCTGGAACCTAATCCCATCTTCTGCAAGAGCAGCCAGTGGTCTTACACACTGAGTCATCTATCAAAGCTTGTTTTTTGTGTTTTTGAGACAGGGTTACTCTGACTGGCCTGAAACTCACTATGTGGACCAGACTGGCCTCAGACTCAAAGAGAGCCACCTGCCTCTGTCTCCCTAGTGCTGGGATTAAAGGTGTGTGCCGCCTTGCCTGACCACCTTCTCCTCCTCCTCTCCCTCCCCCCTCTTCCCCCTTCCCTCCTCCTCTCCCTCTTCTTCCTCTTTCTTCTCTTCCTCCTCCTTTTTCTTCTCCTTCTGCTTCCTTTCCTGTTGTTTTCCAGTCATGATGAGAGGTTTTCCTTCACCAGATGATTCCTTTGTGATATTCTCCCTTGCCACAGGCTCAAAGCAACAAAGCCAATCAGTCATGGGCTGAAAACCCCAAAACAAAACAGCGAGCCAAAATAAACCTCTTCTCTTTATAAGCTGATTTATGTCAGGGATTTGTTATAGTGATAAAAAGCAGACAAAATAAGATGTGATTTTCATGTATTGTACAACAAAGAATATTCTGAGTGGATGGTTAAAGCAATTAGAAAATAATGGTTTTCAATGTTGTGTACTTTATTGGAGATGGTCTTACAGTGTAGCCCAGATTGGCCTTAAAGTTGTGATCCTCCTTCAGCCTCCTCAGTATTGGAATTGCCTGCACATACCACACCATATTGGCTCTCTTTTAAGTACTTTTGTTGTTTTGAAATCATTCAATACTTGATAATTTTTTTTTTTTAGTCTTTTCAAGACAGGGTCTCTCTGTAGCTCCAGGTGTCCTGGAGCTCACCTGTAGACCAGGCTGGTCTTGAACTCACAGAGATCCACCTGCCTCTGCCTCCTAAGTGCTGGGATTAAAGGCATGCACCACCACACCTGACAATACTTGATAATTTTTTAATTTGCTCATTTTTATTTTAATAAAGATATGTGTGCATAGTTTAAAGTCTTAGTGCCAGAGGCACATTGTAAAAAACTGCAGTCCTTGTCTGACATGGTCTAACAAGGAAAGGGCCAGGAATGTATTGCCTTTGCTCTCTCCTGCTATCTGGGATTGTGCCTGTTGCACAGAAGAGGCAGATGGTAGGGACTGGCTGTGCAGTCCAGAGTGACTAGCCTCTGGACTATGAGGAGGGTAGAGGGCATTTAGAATAGCAGGCAGAAGGTCAAGCCCAGGAGTTTTGGTTTCCAGGAACATGTTTTAGTGCCCTGAGGATTTTTTTTTTCTAAGTAGCATCTTATTCCTTTATGGTAGATGTGATTTTTTTTTTGTTTTACTACATTTATTTGTGCGTGTGTGTGTGTGTGTGTGTGTGTGTGTGTGTGTGTGTGTACACATGCCAAGGTGTGAAAGTGGAAGTCAGAGGACAACTTGTGGGAGCTGGTTCTCCATCTACCACATGGTCCTGAGGATTGAACTCATCAGGCTTGGTACCAAGTGCCGTCACTCACTGAGCCATCTCTCCATCCCTCAATTTCTATTTTCATCTGAGATTTTTTTTTCTTCTTACAGTATCAGTTTTGCTTTTTTCCTGTTTGTTCTGGTCTCTGTTTTTCCTAGACAGTTTTCTTCGTGTGCCAGCTTAGATTTAACTGAGGCACCAACGTTGATGAAAAGCTTTGTGCAGATGGAGGCCACTTAGAGTCTCCGGTTTTCACTAGATGTTGAGCCAGCTGGGTCATTTTGTTAGGAGCCCCTCAGTGTCCACTTCATTGGAGCTTTCTTTGAGGCTGGTTGGATTTCTCAGAAAATATTCTTCCCAGGGCTGAGATGGCTCAGCAGTTATGTGCACTGGCTGCTCTTGCAGAGGACCACAGTTCAGTTCCCAGCACCTATGTATTGGCTAACAGCCATCCATAATTCCAGTTCCAGGGGAATCCAACACCCTCTCTGGCATCCATGAGCACTGCACACACATGGTGCACTTACATACATACAGGCAAAACACTCATACACATAAAATAAAAATAAATTAATTTTTAAAAACTTCTTCCCACATCATCTTGATGAATATATGCTTTGTTCCAAAATTGCCAGGAACTGGGATAGAGAAGAAAGCTGGAACACTCAACACAAAGTTATCTTTCACTCCTCCCCCAGCATGCCATTATGCCATCATGCCATTGATACCTGCCCTGAAGTCAGGCAGGCCAGACAGTTCTCTGATTCTCCCCTCAGGAAAATAAGCCTGTGCCTCCTGCAGACCAGGGTCTGACTGCTTCTCAAACAGCTTTCATTCAGCCCTTCTGCCTTTTGTCCCCCCTTCATTCTATTTCAGAACCAATTCAAGATTCTACTCTTGGCTTTCAACATCAACAGCGTAGGGTTCAGGTTTCTTCAATTTGCTAAATTAGTTATCACTTGTGTGTCTCTGACAATTTATTTTTGTCTACTTGTGAGATAATGCCTTGACTTTTTTTTCTAACTTAGTAGGCTTGAGGGAGAGAGAAGAAACTTTTTTAACTAGAAGTTTATATATGATTTTCTAAGGACAGTAAAATAACAATTTTTTTAAAAATATTGTTTCTTGATACCTGATCCCATGTCAGTGGTCTTGGTGACATACCTTGAAGCTTGGTGTGTTCCTCAACAGCCCAAGTTATCAGTATATCTGCATGCCTTTCTCAAGATCTCCAGACCATGGCTGGTGCCCTCAAGATTTAAGACCAAGTTGGGAAGAAAACAAAAATTCTAGGTGTTTATTATTTTTATTATTTACTGATTTTTTAAGATTTTTATTTATTCATAAAACCAAACTCATTGGTCCTAATTCACATTCCTTTTATTCACGAAGGCAGCTATAAGTTGACACACTATCGTATTCATCCCTAGTTTGTTCTGTCCTCAAACCATCTGAATTTTCAACTCACTGATCCATCCTATTGCTCCAGAAAAGTGACCCTACTCTGTACTTTCTTAAGAAAATCAACCCTATTAAACCTGTGCTCTCGGGGACCATTGCAGAAGAGGAGGCAGAAAGAATGTAAGAGCCACACGTCTCAGACCAAAACAGGGTCTTCTGGATGTGACAGGGCCACTGCACTCATGAACTCAGAGCAACTGTGGTTGCCACAAGATCAAAGCAGTCAACATTTCTGCATGGGGTGGGGAGGGACTCGTAAGCCCCACCCACCCCGAGGTGAGGAGCTATTGACAGTTGATGGCTTCTGGAGAAGGCAAAGTCAGCTTTCTTTAGCCCTGTGACCCCCAATATGTCACCATGCTCCAGTGGATGGCCCACATTCATGAATATATGGACAGCACCAATTGGACTTGGTGGGTTATTTTAGTTTAAGGAAGTCATGAAATTGGGGGGGGTGGATCTGGGAGGAGCTAAGGGAGGAATGGGAGGTAGTGAATATGATCAAAATACGTTGTTACACATGCATGAAATTCTCAAAGAATTAATACTCTTGCCTGTATTAGCTGAATAGATAAGTAAATCAAGAGAAAGCAGTTTTGCATTATTCACTTTTTATGTTGCCCATTATCTCTCTCTCTGTCCCTCTGTCTGTGTCTTTCTTCCTGCCTTAGCTGAATAATTATCCTTGCTTTCTAAGGCTAAGCCCCTTGCACATACACATAACAGTAGAGAGAACAGTATGTACAAAGTCAGAAAACTTTTAAGAGTAAGTTGTTGGAAAAACAATAGACGTTGGGTTGTGGATATGGGGACTTTCAAGTTACGTGGGCTTGGTTTGAATATAGCACTTGCTACCTAAATAACCTTGAATTAACTTCTCTCTTATGCTTGATTTCCTGATCTCTGCAGTGAGGGAAATACCAGCTACGTTTTAGGGTTGGCGTGAGATTAAGCAGCATTTTGTAAACTGAAATGGTGGCTCCTGTTGCTGAAATAGCTAAATATTTGCTTGTACTTAAAGTAAGATTTGTGTATGTTTCTGTCACACTAAGGCCTTCAAGGTTATGAACTCTGACCTTTATCTTTGTATTTAAACACTTAGAACATACCCAGCACATCAAAATAAATGTGCATTGAATGAATGGTGAAGCTTTATTTTATACTGCTTGAATTGATATGTAAATTTCTTTTCAGTTTCCAATAGATAATTTATTTCTGTTCCATTGGTTACAAATACTGATTTTTTCTGTATATGTATGTATATGTAGTGTGTATGCATGTATGCATATTCACATGTGTTTGGGCACATGTATATGTGCAGGTACACGTGTGTGGAAACCCAACATTAATGTCATCTGTCACCCTTGATTACTGTTCACCTTACATGTTGAGGCATGGGGGGAGCTTGCCATTTTGACTGGTCTGACTAGCCAGCCTGCTCCAGGGACTCCCTGTCTCCATCTCCCCAGTGCTGGGATTATAGGCAGCCCACCACACCCACTTGGCTTTTATGTGTGTTCTGGGAATCCAAACTTTAGTCCTCATACTTGAAGAGCAAGCACTTTACCCACTGAGCCATCTCTCCAGCCCCTTCAAATATTGACTTTGAGTATATTACTTTGCATTGTAGACTTGAGTGAAATTGTGTATACTTTGGACATAATAATTACTTTTTTTTTTTTACCCCTATTCAGGGAGGTGGTGCAAGCAAACTGTGTTCACTGGAGAAAGAAGTTCTCATTTATGTGCAAAATGAGTGCCAGTGCCGCCACGGGCATCCTTGATCCTTGTATCTACAGAGTGTCTGTAAGGAAGGTATAAAAATAGACTATTATTCCTCCCCTTTCAGAAACCGTAATTAGCTGCAGCCACTGATGCTTTATTTAGATCTGCTTTAACAGTAGAACGGTTGTTTGTAACTTCACACTTGCAGCAGTAATTTGAATTCCTATTGGAAATATGATGAGAACCTGAAGTTACAACTCAAAATATTCAAAACCCTTCTCAGAAGTGCTGTACAGATGAGTATTAGCCTTGTTTGTGTTGGTTTGTGATGATATATGTATCTCATTGTTTATTAAATTCGTGTTCTTTAATAGGCATTGTTCTAAGAACTGTATATAGATAGCAACCCTGAAATTAAGTGTTGTTTTCTCTATTTTCAAGAACAACCAAGATGCCAAGAAGTGAAATAAATTGCTCAAATTTACATCAGGGAAGACTCAAACACAAATCCATGTCCTTTTTTATATGAATCTCCTTTTCACACAAGAGGTGGGGGAGGTATTTATGTATGTTCCTGCTTTTGTTACATAAAAAGGAGCAATCTGTTAGTCACTTCAACTAATGAGTTAACTACCAGCTTTAAAATATAAACTTCATAGCCAAGTGTTGTAATGGCAAGCCTCTGATCATAGCAACCCAGGAGGCAGAGACAGGAAGATCCCAAGTTTAAGGCCAGCCTGAGCTATATAGTAAGTTTACCCCAGCCTAAGCTATATAACAAGAAGTTCCAGGTCAGTTGGAGCTACAGGAAGACCCTGTCTCAAAAAAAAAAAAAAAAAAAGCTAACTTTGTGGTTTACATTTTATACACATTTTTTCTGGCTTTTTGAAACAAGGCCTTTTTTCTTTTATGTGCATGAGTGTTGCCTGCATGTATGCAAGTACACCATGTCATGCAATGCCCTTGGAGGTCAGAAGAAGGCAGTTATCAGATTCCCTAGAACTGGAGTTACAGACGGCTGTTAGCCACCATGTAGATGCTAGGAATTGAACCCAGGTCCTCTATAAGAGCAGCCATTGCTCTTAATTGCTGAGCCATCTCTCCAGTCCCAACAAAGTCTTATTATATAGCTCAAGCTGGCCTGGAACTCACCATGTACCCTAGGCTGATCTTGAACTCTTGATCTTCCTGCTCCCGTCTCCCAGATGCTAGAACTACAGGCATGTGCCATCATGCCCAGATTTATACATATTTCTTTTAATTACTAAAGTACACATACATATGCAAAAAAATTATAAAGAAGCATTTAGAATGAAAAGCAAGAGTCTTTGCTCTACTCTAGTCCTGCATCTTCCTCTATCAGATAAAAGCTGTACTTTTGTTTTGTCATCTTTTTTTTGAAGGAACTCAGCACTGTGATGTGTATGACTACATTTTCACTTTTATATGCTTAATACACAGAGTTACAACATAACAAATATATATGTACATATTATTTTACACATTTGAAGTCTTTATAAAAATAATCTTCTAAAATAGTTGTATTTGGAGCTACAGGAATTCAATGAGAGAGGGCGTCTCCTAAGGAAGTGCCACACAGTGAAGGCATGTGTGCTGGGTTTGGGTCCCAAGCATACCACTTACTGTGAACCATAGAAAATTCTGACTTTTAAAATGTATTGGGCTGGAGAGATGGCTCAGTGGTTAAGAGCACTGGCTTCTCTTGCAGAGGATCCAAGTTCAGTTCCCAGCACACCCACATGGTGGCTAATAACTGTCCCTAACTCTAGTTCCAGGGGATCTGACACCCTCTTCTGATGTCCACAGGCATTACATGACATGGGTGTGCTTACATACGTACAGGCAATACACTCATATGCATAAAAAAATAATAAAATGTATTTCTTCATCCAAATCAGGAGATACTGCTTGGCTCCTCATGAATTTAGGGATTAGCTAGCAGAATAGAGCATCCGATTTTCTTCCTCTGCCTTACCTGCCCTTTCATTGAAACATTTCTAAATCTAGTTCTAATCATGATTCTTGAAAGATGATGTGCCAATCTATGAATTTTAGGAAAAACAAAATATACAAAATTTAGAGTAAAGCACGACTACAAATTAAATAAACTCAAAGTCTGTTAAAAAAACAAAACAAAACAGCAGCAACAACAACAAAAAAAAAAACCCAGAAACTATAAATGCCAATTAAACCAGGACTTACCTAAAACAGTTCTCAGTTTCTGGGGGTTTTCTACATTCATTAGGACATATATGTTAAGCTACTAAAACAGACACAGACAGGCAAAGGCTTAAACAAAAGGGCAGAGAAGCTGTGTCCCTTTAGGGTAATGGCCAGGGAATCCAGGGTGGGAGAGTTGCCACCTTCAACATACAACTCCATCTTTAGACCCAAGGAGCCATTCTAGTCTTGTTACCCCCCCCCCCCCACTTAGTGACATAAGACACATTTCCCTTTCCAAAGCACAGTTCAAAAGAGGTGCATGTATCTATTGTACACATCCCTCTGGCTACAAGTCATGTGGCTGCACCAAACTGAAAGGTAGGCTATGAATGCCATCCACAGTTGGGTGGCCAACAGCTTCTGTGCCACAGAAGGAAGGAGAGCAGTCTCTGCTATGCCTGACTAGGTAGAGGTGTTTGTTGGATTATTCTACACAGTCTTTCCTAAGTATTCTATAAAACAAAAGTTATTGAACTCATGTATATGTGTCCACTGCAAAAAAAAATGCCATAAGCAAAGTCACAAATTAGGGGAAAATATTTGTGAATCATGTCAAAAGACTAGTTTACAAAGCTAGGCATGATGGCGCATGCCTTTAATCCCAGCATTTGGGAGGCAAAGGCGAGTGGATCTCTGTGACATTGAGGCTAGCCTGATCTACATAGTGAGTTCTGGGACAGCTGTGGTTACAGGGAGACCCTGTCTCAAAAAGTCAAAAAATAAAAAAAAAAAGATGACTTCTAAAGAGAAAAAAAAGAAAGATCAATAGCCCTTCAGAAAAGTTGACAAGTGATCATATGCTTCATAAAAAAGAAAACATTTTTAAACATACAGAATATACTCAATCTTACACAAATTAAAACTAGAAATAAGGTACCATTTTCACCTATAAAGCAATGTAGAGAGACACCCATATCAAAAACTAAAAATAATAAAGTTACATGCAAAGTAAAAATGTTGGTCATTTTGAGCAGTTGTCATACATCCAAATAGTTGGATATAAACTCATCAGACTTTTTACTGTCTGTGATATTTGCCAACATATAAATGTCTACTTCAGAATCATTTGACATACATTTAATTTTAAATGCTTCATTATATTACTATATTATATAACATGGGATATGTATATAGAAGACATATATCTTATAGTGTTTTCTATCTTTGCAGGAATTAAAAGGTGGAAAAGCTTACGCAAAGGTAAATAGATGTTCTTTAACTCTTTTGAAACATGTAGTCACTTACTGATATCTGTAGGCTTTAAGTTAAATTGTTTACTCTTTTCATTGTTGTTCAAACTTGACTCCTTTTAAGTAAAGCAAACTGGAGACTGAATAGTTTGGTTCATTAGTAAATTATAAGAATATTCTTTCTACGTGTTTATTATGGACTGTTCCTCTTTGGTTTTAGCCTCCCTACTAGAAGATGATCTCTGGTTTTCTTAAAGCTGTAGCTTACTAATGACTCAAACCAGTCTCACCTGGAAAGTATTCCCAGGCTGAACTCTTCCCAGTGGGAAGGAGCCTTCCTCTGTTCTGTTCACACTCTGTATACATTTGTCCCTCTGTTCTATTAGCACTCTGTATACATTTGTCTCTTGCTGTCTATGGAAGATTGGCTCCAAGACCCTCCCCTCCCCTAGTATATCAAAATCCAAAGATATTCAAGTCTTCTTAATAAAATGGTAAGTATTTGAAAGTAACCTATACACATCCTTACATAAACTTTTAAAATATTATGTTATTTTTATTTTATCTGTATGAGTATTTTGCCTGAATGTATGTAAGTGTCCCCTATCATGCATTCCCCAAGGAGGTCAAAAGAGGGCATCAGATTCCCCTGGAACTGGAGTTACAGATGGTTATTAGTTGCCATATGGGTGCTGGGAATCAAATCTGGGTCTTCTGCAAGAGCAGCCAGTGTTTTTAACTGCTGAGCCATCTCTCCAGCCCCTCTCAAATATACTTTTAAGTCAGCTCCAGATTACTTATAATATTGTCCTGGTTTCTTTTCCTGTTGCTGTAATAAAATGCCCTGACAAAAGAATTTTAAGAAGAAAGGGTCTATTCAGCTTGTAATTCCAGGTTACAGTCCATCAAGGCAGAAGCTTGAGAGAACTGGTCATATTCTATGTGCAGTCAGTAGAGAGCAATAGATGCATCCATGCCTGCAGCTCACTTCTTTCCATTCTTAGACAGTCCAGGCTCTCCTGCCCAAGGAATGTTGCACTCACTATGGGCAAATCTTTCCATCTCAATTAATGTACTCAAGACAATCCCCCACAGACCTGCCCACAGGTCAGTCTAATCTAGATAATCCCTCGATGAGACTCTCTTCCCAGGTGGTTCTAGATTGTGTCAAGTTGACAATTAAAATTAACCATGGAGCTGAAGAGATGGCTCAGCGTTTAAGAGCACTGGCTCTTCTTGCAGAGGACCTGATTTCAATTTCCAGAATCCACATGGCAGCTAACAACTGTTTGTAACTCCAGTTCCAGGACATCCAACATCCTCTTCTGAGCTCCACAGGCATTGCACGACACAGGTGTACTTACATGCATACAGGCAATACACTCATGCACATAAAATAAAATTAAAAATTTTTAAACATTTAAAAAAAATCTTCATAAGAGCTGGAGGGATGGCTTAGAGCCGTTCTGGTCTCACACCAGGCATACACATGGTGCACATACGTACATTCAGGCACTCACACATAGACATAAAATAAAAATAAATAAATCTTAAAAATACTAGCTGTCGCCAGGTGTGGTGGCGCACGTCTTTAATCCCAGCACTCGGGAGGCAGAGGCAGGCGGATCTCTGTGAGTTCAAGGCCAGCCTGGTCTACATAGTGAGTCCCAGGCCAGCTGGGGCTACTGGGAGATCCTGTCTCAAAAAGACCCCCCCAAAAAAAACAAACAACAACAACAACAAAAAAAACATTTTCTGTCTCCATTGACGAGACTTAGTGCCTTAGGTTGTGCCTGCAGTATTTCTTGTTGACAGCCCATGTTGGCCTCCTGCTTAGTCTGTTTCCCTGTTATTGTCTCCCTCCATCCTTCTTAGTACTGCCAGAATGATCGTTCTAAAATTAAAACATGATTACATCATTCCCCACTTTTACCTTCAGCAGCTATTTGTTGACTATAAAGGAAACTGAAAATTCTATAAGCTAACAAATAAGACCCGTTTCAGTTTGCAAGTCGTTTCTGCTGCCTCATCTCTCCAACCTGCCATCTGTATTCTGTCTCTCGCCTCTCCTGCCCCTCATCTTTATGAGGCATGTTGCCATCATACACTTCTAGAGCATCTCATGCTATCTTAGCTTCCTTGCCTTGTGACCTGACACCATGTGTGTATTGCTCCCTCCTCCTGTCCTGTCAGCTTGTGTATCATTAAAAGATTCAGCTTAGTCATCCCTTCCCACTGATAACTTTGCTTCTCTTCCTTATAATTATGTCTTCTTTTACCACAACATTTATCAGACTGTGCTGTAGGAATTTGCTTTCTGTTTTCCCCTATTAAACTATGAGAGTAAGAATGATTCCATAGGGGCTGGGGCTGTAACTTAGAGCACAGCATGATTAGGCCCTGGGTTCCATCCCCAACACCAAAAGAAGAAAACAATTCTATATTTCTAATTAATGCCTAACATTACTCGGAATGCAGGTGCTAAAAAATATTTTCTGAGCTGGGCGTGGTGGCGCACGCCTGTAGTCCTAGCACTTGGGAGGCAGAGGCAGGCGGATCTCTGTGAGTTCAAGGCCAGCCTGGTCTACATAGTGAGCTCCAGGCCAGCTGGGGCTACAGGGAAACCCTGTTTCAGAAAGATCAAAAAAAAAGTATTTTCTGAATAAATTAATGTATACCACAATTGTATATATATACCACAATTGTGTGTGTGTGTGTGTGTGTGTATATATATATGACACACATAGATTGGGGGAATTATCTTGGTGAGGTCAAAGGAAAAGTCACAAGGAAACATGAATTCTCTGGCACCATGCTATGTCTATAATGTGAGTTTTTTGAAGGCAGAGTATTTTTCCTTTTCTGAACTATTCTCTTGTGCCTGAATGAGGGTCTGGCACATAAAAGATACATAAAAGGAATATTGGCATGCCAGTCCTTCTAATATGCTTTGATAACAAGGACTGTCTTAGTTGGTTTGGGTGGCTATGCCATATTGCCCTAGACAGGGTGACTTAAGCAACATACATTTATTCCTTACCATTCTAGATGGTGAGGAGTCTAAGAGCAAGATACTGACAGATCCAGTGTCTGTAATGAGTCTACTTCTGGATTTGCAGATGACTGCTTTTAGTATGTCGTCACATGGCAGATTACAGAGAAGATGCAAGTTCTCTCCTGTCTGTTTAAAAGGGTATAGCTCAGTGGGAAAGCACATGCTGAGACATGTGTAAGACCCCTGGGTTTGATCCCCAGCACCAAAAAGGGGAGGAGTGCATTAATCCATTCATGAGGCCTCAGTTTCACGACCTAATAACCTCTCAAAGGCCCCACCCCTTCATACCTTCCTCTTGGGAGTTAGGCTTTCAACATACAAGTTTTGGAGAAACATGAGCATGTAATCCATAATCAGATATTCTTACTGACAATATAAAACCAGTATTATAACAGTAAGTTAGTGGGTAGCTAACTTTTAAGACTCCTTCAGAGAAATGACATCTGAACATGAATGGAACAAAAGAGAAAACTACAAAATTATCTAAGAGAGGGAATGTTTCGAGAGAGTTAATGGCCTTGAGTTGATCTCACACATTGTGGCTGGCAACATTAAATGAAGAGGAGAGAAAGGAAATGGATTTTAGCAGATGACCAGAAGAGTCAGACTGCATAAAGAACTCAAGAAGGGTTGTGTTTTTGTTGTTATTTATTTTTATTTTATGGGTACGTGTTTTGTCTGCTTATATATAGGTATACCATATGCGCATTACCTATGGAGGCCAGAGGGTGTGTGAATCCCTGGAACTGGAGTTAAAGACAGTCTTTAGTTCTCATGTGGGTGCTGGGAACCAAACCCCTTAAGCACTGAGCCATTGCTCCAGCCCCAAGAAGGGTTGTTTTTGTAGATTTTGTTTTGGTGGAGGAGGGACAGAAAAATGATCCAATAATCTGGAGAGATACGGGATAAAGTTAGATTTGTTCATAGGAGAAAACCAGCCAGCCTGTTTGTATGCTGCTGGGAAAGATCCGGTCGAGAAGGGATACTCTAGAATGCCAAAGGCAGGAAGAACTGCAGAAATAATAAACTTGAGCAGGCAAGAGGCCTCAGGAACACACCATATCGTGCATATTATCTAAGTGGGAAGGCAATACAGGGCCCCAGTGTAGGCAGGTGAGTAACTGTGGCTGGCAGTAAGAGCTCATGAAAATTAAACACCCTTGATTGCGTTTTTTCTCTGAGGGAAACAGGCAACAGGGCCATCAGCAGGGAGAGAGAACAGAAAGAGGTGCTGGATGTTTAAAGGGGAAGAGAAAGAAATAAAATAGTATATGTTAATAATGGATGATCAGGGGCTGTAGAGATGGCTCAGTACTTAAGAACACTTGCTGTTCTTGCAGAGGACCCAGATTTGATTCCCAACACCCACATGGCAGCTAACAACCATCTGCAACTCCAGTTCCAGGGGATCTGATACCCTCGTCCGGCCTTTGAGGGGCATTGCATGCATGTGGTGCACTTACATACATGCAGGCAATACACTCATATACATAAAATAAAAAATAATAAATAAAATAAAATTTAAAAAAGATAGTGGATGATCAAGTAAGTCACATAATTCACATGCTCACTCAGATATTACTTTGTACTGGACCTATTTTGGCTTTTTCTATATTGCCCCAGTAAAATTAGTAAGACCAAAGAAACCCTGTGAAAACTAGGCAGATGTTGCCTGTGTCTTGAGGCGTCTCCTCAAGCCTTGGAGGCTTCTACTATTCTCTGGGTTCTTGTTCTTCAATCTTTTCATACCAGTTAAAAGCTACTAAAATAATATTCCAATTTACAATTGAAGTCATCATTTGAAATGCCGCTTAAAACCCTTAAAGTGGAGCTGGGAAGATTTCTCCATGGATAAAGTGCTTGTCATGCAAGTGTGAAAACCTGAGTTTGGATCCCCAGACCAAAGCTGGCATAGCAGCACACATGTGTAGTCCTACCTCCTATCCTACTGCTCCTACAGTGAGATGGGAGATAGAGACAGGAGAGTTCCTGAGAGCTAGCTAGCCCAGACCACACAGTGCAGAGGTAAACAACAGAGACCCTGCCTCAAACAAGGTAGAAGGTGAGGACCAAAACCTAAGGGTGTTCCTGACCTCCACATGTGCACCATGGCATGTATGTGCCCACATACACACACACGCACACACACACACATACACACACACACACACACACAGTATACAAACATACAAAAACTTAGCAAACAGCTTCAGCAGTATTTATGTGTAATGTTATTTATGGTATGTCTATGGAGATGTGCTTAATTAATTATAAAGTCAATTCACTTTTTGTTAATAAAGAAGTATATACACTTTGTTATATAGAAGTAGACTGTTCCAAAAATGATAATATGCCGGGCATGGTGGTGCGCGCCTTTAATCCCAACACTTGGGAGGCAGAGGCAGGCAGATCTCTGTGAGTTCAAGGCCAGCCTGGTCTGCATAGTGAGTTCCAGGACAGCTGGGGCTACAGGGAGACCCTGTCTCAAAAAAAAAAATGATGATATAAGGGTGTACAGCTTGGAAATGTGAAACAGGGTTAAGCAACATCAGAAGAAAGTCTACAGAGCAAGATTTAATAATGGCAGAAAATGGGGACCAGTTCTGGGTAGTAATATGGAAAAGGAACACATTTAAACTGAACTTGTAGGTAGCAGCAGAGAGGGCAGGCGTGGGGCAGAACTATGAGAAAGGAAAGAAGGCTCCATAAAGAACTTCCGCTCAGGGATGCTTAGCAAGGCAGATGTGGAAGATGGAAGAAAAGCTGCCTGTACCAAGAAGCTGTGTGATTCACTGAAGTCTTTCTAGTTAGTGCTTGGAGAATGAGAGCTTCCTAACCTGCCACTGTCTGCAGCCCCAGTGGTTCACTCAGCGTGAGCAAGATCCAAAATCAAGTCTTAACGACACACGAGCATGACTGCTTGCTAGTTACTTCCCACAGGGTAATGTGAGTGTAGGTGCTGCTTCAAATGGTTTTGGTTGTTTGATATGCATTAGTTTTACTATCTCAGTAATATATTTATTTTAATATATGCTGGAATATAAGTATGAAGACCATATTTAGCACATCAAATCTGTGATACCAAAGAGCCCACAGCTTGAGATAAGTGGACTAGGTAGGAAACTTTTATTAAAAAGCCAGCTAGGGGCTGGAGAGATGACTCAGCAGTTAAGACCACTGGCTACTCTTGCAAAGGACCAAGGTTTGGTTCCCAGCACGCACATGGCAGCTAACAGCCGCTCATAACTCCAATCCCAGGGGATCCAAAGTTCTCTTCTGATTGCTGTATGCATTGCATGCATGTGGTGCACTTACACACATGTAGGCAAAGCACACATACACATAAAATAAAAATAATTTTTTTTAAAAAAAAGTAAACTAAATTAAGGACATATGTAAAGCAAATGATAAAGCAGGTTCCGTTAGGATGCCAAGAGCTGAAAGACTGAATTGAAAAAACTTGCATGTATTGAATGCCTATTTTAAGGAGAATATGATAGAAGCCTACAAGATATTCTATTAATATAATTCTTTTTATTTTCATAGCTGGGCTTTGCAGATCTAAACCTGGCAGAGTTTGCTGGATCAGGAAATACCACTCGTCGCTGTTTACTGGAAGGCTATGATACCAAAAATACAAGACAGGATAACTCCATTCTTAAAGTAAGCACACTTCAAGATTTCCTTGCCAATAGATGAGATTCTCTGCCTTTAAGTAAGCACAGGTATATGCTGTCACTGATACAATGGGAATCAATACGGAGGTTTTAAGCATACACACCATTGGGGAAAAACATATGCAAATTATAGAAGTAATGCAAAGTAGCTAATGTTCACCTTCATGGTTCCAACATGTTTCTCATCAGTACTGTGAACATTTAGAGAATACACCACCACTACAACAGAAGTGTTCATTGGGAGGAAGGAGCTTGACAAATGGATTCATGCCTTAAAATGTATATAGCTCTCAGGGCTAGAGAGATGGCTCAGTAGTTAAGAGCACTTGCTATACAACCATGAAGACCTGAGTTCAGATCCTAGCACCTATTTAACAAGCCAGGAGTGGTCTTGCACATCCATGTAACCCTGGTCCTGTGGGGATTGGAGATGGGAGGATTTCTGTTGCTGGCTGGCTGCCAACCTAACTAAAGCATGAGCTCCAGGGTCTGGGAAAGACTCTGTCTCAAAGGAATAAGGTGGAGAGTAATTGAGGACACCTGACAGCCTTCTCTGGCATCTGAGTGTACACAGGCTCATGTACTCGCATACACACTTGCCCATCACACACACACACACACACACACACATACACACACGTACACACACGTACACACACACACACAAAACATACATGTATGGCTCTCAAGAGGACTTCCAAATCAGCTGTTATGGGTTCATAGAAGTCATTGGGTTCGCTAGTAACTAGTGAAGTGACAGGCAAAACCCATTTGTGGGCACCTGTCTTACTTTTTCCAAGTCTCACCAGGAGCCATATGTTCTGAATCACAGAGAGTATGTACTTCACACAGTTGACAGAGGAAACAAATGAGGAGCAGTTGAAAAAATATTTAGTAAGTATCTTGTATTTAGAAAACTTTTTGCTATATTTTAGTTAACTACTTAACTGGTACATGACCTAATAAGAGGAAAAGGAAATAGTTCTGCAAAGAAACCAAATGATTTTTATTTATTTGTAAAGCAAAGAATTACCTTATACCTACAGTTTTCAAACTTAATTTTTAGTAAATATTTAGATATTCACTAAATAGCTCTTATCCTCAGTCATCCCTTACACAAATTCAGCAGCTTTAAGAAAGGTGGGATGGGTGGTTGATGTGGGGAGGAAAATGGTAGAAGATGGGGGTGTGCGGGTGTACCCTGGGGAGGTGAAGGCAGGGAGGCTCGAGAGTTCAAGGCCAACCTTGGCTACATGAAAATCTATCTCAAAGAAATTAAATAAATAAATAAATAAATAGGAAATAAAAAAAAGCATCCTGCCATAAACTTTACATTGATTATATTTTGTTGTTATATACCTCTGAAAATACCTTAGAGCACTTACATATACCAAAGACTGGCAGGTCTGGACAGATGGGAAACAACTGTCATCCCTGTTTTATTGTGGAGAAGGTAAGACTCAGAAGTTAAGTGCCTTCTGCAACAGAAGTGTGTGACAGAGCTGAGACCAGCATGCATATCTTCTGCTACCTGCTTAGAGCCTTTTCACATCATCAGCTCATCTAAGACCTGTCCTCAAAAACCCTCATCTACTATTCGTTTTTTATTTTTTGAGATAGGGTCTCCTTGTAGCTATAGCTGGCCTGGAACTTGCTATATAGACCAGGCTGGCCTCCATCTCACGGAGCTCTGCCAGCCTTTGCCTCACAAGTGCTGGGATTAAAGGCATGTGGCCACCACACCAGGCTCTTTACTGTTCATTCTGAATGATTCCAAATAAGCTACTAAAATTCAGTCTCTTCACATATTTCTTAGGTTTAAACAAAAAGCATAAACCTATCTCTGAATTGCATTGTTTTCATTGGAAATTGAAATAACTTTTTTTGCATGTGTATGTGTGTAGTATGCATGTCTGTGTATATGTAGTTAGCGGGAGGGGTATCTGAGGTTGATTTGGGGAATCTTCCTGATTGCTCTTCCGTCTTAGTCATTGAAGTAGTGTCTCTCCATCAAAACCAGAGCTCACTGCTACAGTTTGCTCCAGGGATTCCCTATTTCTGCCTTCCAAGCTGGAATTACAGAGGAGCTGCCATTCCCACCTGACATTTACATGTGTTCTGGGGAACCCCAGTCCTCTTGCTGGTGCAGTAAGTGCTTTAACCACTGAGCCATCGCCTCAGCCCTGAAATAGCCTTTTATTTTCATGTTCCACAGGGACATCTCCTAGAATGATTTCTTTCTGGCCCCCATGGAGTCTTCCACTATTTCTTCCATCCACTTTGTCTTACAAAAAACATATTTTTTGAGGGTCACACCAAACAACTGTGACTCTCTTGCCCTTGAAGACCTCTGTCACCTCTTGACACATAGTCCCCACCTCTCTCCTCTTCACTGATGACTTACTGCCTGGTTCAGTTTTTCTCTCCATCCCTTCTCTGTCATTTTTGAGTGGTATTACCATCTGTGCAGGTGAACTGTGCTTGTAAGAAGGTCTCTGTGCATTCTCTCCTGACAGTCGATCTTAAGTATGCCCAAGAACTCTCATTCCTTAAACTGCCCATTTCAATCAACCATTTCTTCCTTATCTCAGTTCCTAATCCTACAATCACAGCCTAGGCTCGGTTGTCACTTTCCCCTTCCCACCACCATCCCCTGTGCTCCCAGCCCTCCTGGTCTGCTCACATAGCTGTCTTCCACACTCTACTTTCTCACCATCTAGCAACCCTCATTTGCTTCCACTCCCTCCTTATCCAGCGTAAATTCATGGTTCATGACTATCCTCCTCTCATTAATGCTCCTGGTTCCTTTGCCCATTGCTGTCACTGAACAATCTCCAACCCCAGTTGAGTTGCCAGTCCTCCTCAAGTCTGTATCCACTGCTGAATATTGGAAAACGGCACAGACAAGCAGGCGTTACCAAGTCAGGCTTTCTTTCAGCTGGCAGCCACACTTGGCTTCCTGTCCCAATTCTACTTCCTGCCTTCTTTCTTCTTGCATCTTCATACTCCCTGCTTTACCTCAGTTAAGCTTATACCTTATTGAAAAGACAGAACTCATTAAACCTTATCTCTTCATCATCCCATTATAAAGCTTACAATTCCACTTTCTCTTCAGTCTTACTACAATATATGACTCTTCTCTATGTTGACCAGGCTGTCCTCGAACTCACAAAGATTGGTCTGCCTCTCTCTGCCTCCCAGGTGCTGGGATTAAAGGCTTGTACCACCATACCCATCTACCTTTAAATAATTGTATAGGTCACAGCTATGCATGCTAACATATGCCTGTAATCCAGCACTCAGGAAGTTGAAGTAGGACAATCATGAGTTGAAGGCCAGCCTGGGCTACATAAGACCCTTTTTAAAAAGAAAACAGAATTGTGTGGGCTCTAAAAGTTTGGATCATGATGGCAATGTCCTTTTAATGTCTTTTAACATTTTTTAAAATCATCGTTTATAAAAGCAATTAACTAAATATTAAATGATTCGATATTGTTTCTGTGAATATTAAGTTATATATTATAAAAATCTTAGCTTCAAAGTGAAAATACATTAAACAATGTTTTATTTAAAACAAAACAAAAAACAATATATGACTCTTGCTTCCCCTCCAGTTGTAATGTAATGACATGTCTCTCCCAATCAGAAGTCAGTGCTTCCTCTTGGGCTCTACGATCCACACATGCCTAATCAAAGGTTTTCCTCTACTTTTAGTCATCTCCCTCTCTAATGAATGGTCCTCATCAACATACAAAGAAAAAGCTCCAGTGTGCCCACTCTTTAAAAACAGCTCAGCTGCTCTTCTCTCATCTCTGTCCCACATCTCTGCTCTGCCTCACTGCACAATTACTTCTACCCTGAGACATTTAGAGAGTCACAAGTGCTGTCTTGTGGAATTGGAAACCAGGTTGAAGGGTTCTATGAAAGAAGAGGTAATAAGGAAACCAGCACAACAGGTTAGGCTTGGAATTTAAGGAAAAAAGAGGAAGGGAATAGGAGTAGAGGCCCTGGGGTGAAGAGATGTGAATGGAATAGGGTATAGAAGCTACATGTCAACCATTAGCTGGAAAGTGCAGTAATATTCATGTGTCCTGTTGGTCATTAAGACTGGGAACTTAATATGTGCAGTCCTGAGTTTGGGTCTCCTCTCTGCCCTATGATTTAGAAAATATCCCCTTAGTCTCTGCAAACTCAAAATGAGAATGTTACTCTCTCATGGGAGTAATGAAGATAAAATGAGTTGATACTATGTAGTTTATATCTGGAACAAAATAACCTGTCAAATCAAGCCAAGCATGCCTGAAATCCCAGCATTCAAGAGACTGAGGCAGGAAGGTCAGAGGTTCAAGGCCATCTTCAGCTGCATAGCAAGTTCAAGGACAGCCTGGGGTACTGAGTCCCTGTCTCAAAAAGCCAAAACAGCCAGGTGTGATAATGCACACCTTTAGTCCCTGAACTTGTGAGGCAGAGGCAGGTGGATCTCTGTGAGATCCAGGCCAATCTGATCTACATAGTGAATTTCAGGCCAGCAGAAGCTACAGGGAGACCCTGTCTCAAAAGAAAAAAAAGCTGAAACAATCAAGATAACTTCTCAAATCATTATCATTATGAATGTCATTATTATTCCCATAAGAATGTGAATTTGGGGCTAGGAATATAGCCTAGTTGGTAGAATGACCGCCTAGCCTACACAAAGCCCTAGGTTTAATCTCCAGTACCACATAAACTGGATGTGGTAGCATACATCTGGAATTTCAGCACTCAAGAGGAAGAAGGAGGATCAGAAGTTCAAAGTCATCATAGTGACTTTGAGGCTAGACCCTCTTTCAGAAAAAGTGTTGTCTGATGGTTGATTCTTAAAAGTTACTCAGTAACTGTTGCGGGTTCTCCTCAGGCCAGCTGTGAAGACCCTGACCTGGATTGGGTCCCCTGTCGATTGTGGGCGGCAAGAGGCGCAGAGTCAACACACAGACACCGGGAGTTGGGTAGAAGCAAGCACTAGGCGAGGTGCTGCAGGCTTGTTTAATGCAGGAGGGGGCAGGCCTTATATTTCCCTTTTCTCTGCCCCCCAAGTCCCTTTAGGCAGCGTATCGTTTTCTGATTGGTCTGTGCCACACAGTCTGTCAGCAGTCACTGGGCTCCTGAGCAGGGTACAGAAGCGTGGGCTCCTTTTAGTGGGCTATTTGCAGACCAAGAAGTGAAGTGAATTCTTGCTGAATCCCAGGGCTCTGGGTCCACGCCATCTTTGGAGGCCTCCTGCTACAAGTAACCAGAGAATATCAGCCTTTCAGAAGGAAATAGCAAAGCTGTGAATCCCTGTATAAAGCTGGAGCAGAGGCCAGAAGTTGTGTACTATTGAGGGCCTCAAGCATGAAGCCTCAGCACAGCAGCTAGAGGGAAATGCTATCAGACACCTCAGGAGTCAGGAGTAAACACAGATAAGCTAGATCTGTGCCCACAGGCTACAGGAAGGGTTGCTGCTGAGGAAATGCTTGTTTTTCATTCTTATGTTTTCCAATATGATTTTTATAACTACAATGTTTTGAACATTAAAAATTATTTTTAATCCATGTCTGCATAAAGCAGTAATTTAATATTGGACACACCCTATTTAACAGTCATTTTATTTCATGATTTCTGGAACGAATTAGACTAGCTGTTGTGAGGAAAGTACAGATCAGCAAAATGTGCCTCCTGCTCTACAGAAATCTTCTATAATCACAATGTTTTTTGTTCTTATGTTTAGGTTTTGATCAGTATGCAGCTGATGTCTGGTGACCCATGTTTTAAAACGTAAGTTGATAATAAATGGGTAATACAGATTTATGTGTGTTTTGGTAATATTTTATAAATTTTATAGGCAAATAGTTCCTTTCTGGGTAGACTGACCTGTTTATTTTTTTTATTATTTTTATTTATGTGTATGAGTGTATTGCCTGCATGTATGTAAGTGCACCCATGTTGTGCGATGCCTGTGGAGGTCAGAAGAGGGCATCAGATCTCCTGGAACTTGAATTACATATGGTTGTTACCCACCTGTGGGTACTGGGAACTGAACCCCGGTCCTCTGCAAGAGCAGCCAGTGCTGAGCCATATCTCTAGCCCCCTAACCTGTTCTTTGTAGAAGTTACTGTTGCCTATCACCAAGTAAGCTTACCACTCTCAAAATTATGTAAGTTATAGGTCTCTTGTTGTCTTTGAGTTTTCTGGTTTGAGATGAAATTATACAAAGTGAATTTTAGTTTGCTTTCTGTTTTCTTATTGACCTCTTCAACAGATACCTAGTAGGTGCTTTACAGTGTGTAGGACCCCATTCTAACCCCCCCCCAAAAGCAGTAGGCAAAACAGACTAAGTTCTACCATCTTAGACCTTGTGTTCTAAGAAGAAAAGAGACATTAAAGTAGCAGAAAAAGAAAATAAGCATTACAATAAGTGCTTTGAGAGAAATAAGGCAGGGGAACAGAAGGTGGTATAGACAGCTGTTGCTGTTTTGGTGAGAATCGGAGGCTTCCCTGGTCAAGATGACATTTGAGTAGATTCCTGTGAGAGGTGGGAAGGGAGCCATGCAGATATCTGGGGAAAGAACATTCTGGGTGGAGGGAACCAGGGCAAAAGCCTTGACTGAGAAGTATTCCCAGCATGCTCAGGTGACTGCCTGGAGACCAGAGTGTATAGAGCTGAGGGAGGCAAGAGGAAGATAACAGGAGACAGGTCATATGATTGTCCTGCAGGCCATTATAATAAGGATTCCACTTACTGTTACTGTGAGATAAAAAGCAATAGAGGTTTCAGGTGAAGAGTAAAATGATCTAACTTATGCTTGCAAGATAAAAAGAGACAATCTATGGGAACAGAAAGGACAGAAATAGGTGGATTGTGTGACTGCTTCAGTAAATGCCTTGGGACTAATTATCAGACCAATGTTTTCACTTCTGAGAAGCTACAACAAGAACGACTGAGAGCTTAGACGCTGGACATGGTATGTCTGAGAACCCAGCTGGACAAGTCAAGGAGGCAGTTGGTTCTCTTAGCAACAGAGTTCTAGACTGCAGATACAGATTTAGAAATCATCACATCATCAGATAGTAATTAGAGCTAAGAGACTCAATAAAATGATCTAAAGGGATATAAGGAAAGAAAAGGGCAGGATCAGAGTGAAACCGTGCAGCCCTTTACAGTATGGGGAGGTGGGAAGATCCAGGAAAAGACCAGTGAACTTGGAGGAAGGAAGCAGAGGAGAGGACTGTCCTGAAAGCCTAGTGAAGAAATTGTTTCAAAGAGGTAAAAAAGAGAAAGAGAAAAGAAAAAAAGTCAGACACTACCAAAGTAGTCTTAGCAGGTGAGGGCTAGGAAGTGATTTTTTAATTTTGTCATATAGTCACTCTAGTTAACTTTGGCAAGCACATTGCTAGCATGCTCTTTAGAGTAAAGCCTTTTGAAGTTGAGTTAAAAAGAGTTTTGCAGTGCTGAGCATGGTGGCGCACACCTTTAGTCCCACTGCTTGGGAAATGGATGAAGGCAGATCTCTGTGAGTTCCAGGCCAGCCTGGTCTCCGTATTGAATAACAGGACATGAGTGGGATGAGTTCTGTTCTTTTTTAAGGTGGGAGATAATACAGCATATTTTTTGAAGTGATATTTTTTGGAGCAGTGCAGTAAACAAGGGAACATAGGCAACATAGAGCTAGGAAAAGGGCAGTAGCTGAACAGTGTCCTTGGTTCATCCAGACATAGGAGCAGAGACATGGATTCTAATGCAGATATAGAAGTGGAATCAGCTAGCGGCATACACCTTTAATCCCAGTACTGAACAGGCAGAAGCAGGCAGATGTCTGTGAATTTGAGGCCACCCTGATCTACATAGCAAGTTCCAGACCAGTCAGTGCTACCTAATAAAACCTGTCTCAAAAAAAAAAAAAAAGGTGAAATCATCTGGATATTTTTGTTTTTGTTTTTTTTTTCTCTCAAGACCAGGTTTTACTTTGTAGCCAAGGCCAGCCTCAAACTTACAATCCTCTCATCTTGGCCTCCGCAGTACTGGGACTTTAGGCATGGATCACCACCCTTGGATGAAAGTTCCCTTCTAACTGCTTCTGGTTTCCGATTTCTTAGAGAAATGAGGAATGAGGATGGGGAAAGTAGATGTGAGGCTTCGAGGAAAGGAAGAGCATCCTCAAAGTATGAATGAGGGCATGAGAGCAGATCCCTGTCGGCAATCCTGAAGACACTTGATTACAGTGGAAGCTCATTAACTATTATTACTGGAGGAAAAATATATTTTGAAGGGGAAACATTACTTCTAATATACTGACTTTGTGTCTTAACAGCTTTTGTTGTAACTTAGAAAGCCAGGCATGCTTTCTAAACCACATGTGGTAGCACATGCCTGTTATCCCTACACTCAGGAGACTGAGGCAGGAGGATTGCAAAGGCAAGGCCCACCTGGGCTACAGAGTGAGACTCTGCCCCCTCCCCAAAAGCATGTGATTCTCTACTTTCATACTGTTTGTAAAGATAAAAATGTGTGTCTTAATTTAAATTGAGCTAGGGTTGGAGCTCAGTGGGAGAGCATGTGCTGAACATGCAGTAGGCCCTGAGCTCAATCTCCAGTACCACATACAAAAACTAGAAGTTTATTCTTGATTAATATTATACATTTCAGGGACAGCAAGATGGCTCAATGGGTAAATGCACTTGCCATCATAAACCTAATGACTTGAGTTCGATCCCTGGAACTCATATAAATGTGGAAGAAGGGATCTGACTCTATAGTTGTCTGCTGACCTTCACATGCTCACAGTGACACACATGCCTCCCAAAATAATAATAATAATTTAAAAAATATCTTTATACATTTCAGGCCTGGAAGATGGCTCACCCAGTAAAAGCATGAGTCTCATGACCCAAGTTCAATCCCTGAAACCCGAATAGAAAGATAGAATCAACTCCCAAAAGTTATCCTCTGATCTCCACATGCACACCTTGGCATGTGCATGCTCACACACACACATCATTCAAGCACATACACACATAACACACAAATTATAATAAGTAAATTCAATTTAAAAAATTTTTGAAACTCTGCGTTCTCAGGACTGGGAAGACAGCTCATTTACTGAAGTACGTGCTGTGCACACATGAGGATCTGAGTTCAATCTCCAGAACCCATGTGAAAAACCAGGGATGATGGTGCACACCTGTAATCTGAGCACTGGGGAGGGAGCAGCAGGCCAGCCAGCCTGACTAGCCCACTCAGTAAGCTCCAAGCCAGTGAAAGACCCTGCCTCACCAAACAAGGTGGATGTCTCTTGAGGAGCAATACCCAAGGTTGGCATCTGGCCTCCACACGCACCCACAAACAGACAGCTGCATCCACACGCACACACACACATACATGTGCACACCCACACATACACACACACACACACACACACACACACTGCCCATTTCCTTAACAGCCTTCCTGTGCTGCTTTGCTGACTGTCTCACAAACCATCACTTCCTCACTCTTACCTGATGATCCCTTGAGACTAAACAAATTCTGCTACACTTGTTCTGGCCTGAGGTAGCAGTTTGTTTTGCTGGTGGAATAAGTTTAGAGTTAAATAAGAGAAGAAGTAGCAAAAGTTAATAGAAAAAAATGAATTCATCATTCCTTCTCATGAACTTTTAATGGATATTTGCTTTCTTTTTCCTCTGCCATTTTCTCTTTATAGAACTTACCTATTTAAAGTCCAAAAATAGGTCTGGAGCTAGGCATGGTGGCACACAGGGAGACCCTGTCTAAAAAACAAAAAAAGGTTCAATAATCTGTAGTATCTCCACAAATATATTGCTGGAAATCTAGAATATATATTTAGCAAGAAAGATACACAGAAATAAAAATTAAAATAAATCTTAAGGTCTAGGGATATAGCCCAGTGGTATAGTTCTTGTCTATCACACACAAGTCCCTAGATTTAGTCTCCAGACCTGCCCCTCAAAAAATGTGGTTTATAGGGGCTGGAGAGATGAATCAGCAGTTAAGATCACTGGCTGCTCTTCCACAGGACCAGGTTCACTTCCAGGCACCCACATGGCGGTTCTAGGGGATCCGAAGCCCTCTTCTGGCCTCAGCAGGCATTGCATGCCCAGGTGTACTTACATGCATGCAGGCAAAACACTCATACATACAAAATAAAAATAAATTTAAAAATAAATAAAAAGTAAAAATTTTTAATGTGGTTTATAGGTATATGAGATGGAATATTATTTGGTCCTGTCACTTGCAGCAGCATGCGTAGAACTAATGGACACTGTGTTCCATGAAATAAGCTAGTACAGAGAAGGAAAGTAGAAACCATGGTTCCTGGAGGCTCAGAAGGGGAATGGAGGAAACTTGGATTAGTGGATCCCAAAATGAAGTTAGATAGGAATAAGCACTCATATTTACAGCAAAGAAGGCAACCATTTACAACAATTGGTTGTATGTTTTATGAGGAACTAGAAGAAAAATTCCAAGGTTCACAGCACAAAGAAATGATAAATGTTTAGGCATTAAACATTAAGTTACTTTCATTTGTTCATTACATATTTGTCAATGTATCATACCACAGTAGACTCCAAAACTATGTACAGTGTTTTAAATTATCAGCAAGTGATACACACCTAGGAGCCTGAGGCAGGAGGATGGACTTGAGTCCTGGAGTTCAAGTCCAGCTGGGGTAATATAGTGAGACCCATATCTCAAAAAAAAAAAAAAAGAAAGAAAGAAAGAAAAAATTTGTAAACATCCTAGTGTAATCCAAACTCTTACAAATGAGGGGACTAAGACAGCGCAATTGAGCAACTCGGCCAAGTATGTGTATATAGAACAAAGATGTAAATGATGACTGGAGGATTCAGGCCCTGCTCTGCCCAACTCCCTGTTGATGTGGGAGATGTGCACAGAACAATGACATTCTGGGGGCAGAGAGTGAAGACTCTAACCAACACTGTTCCTTGATAGCTAGAAAATCTTCACTGAGCAGTGGCACTGAGCTGAGTGGTAAAGGATGAAAAAGCATCTGTGAAGGTGGGTAGAGCCATTCCAGGAAGAGAAAACACTTTGCACACACACATAGGGCTTTGTTACACCATACAGAATATCTGTGGAACATCCAGTAGATAATATTTTTATTGTCATTTTAGAAGGTCATTTTTCACATTTTTTTTTCTGAGTCAGGGTCTCAGTATGTAGACCAGGCTGGCCTCAAACTCACAAAGATCTACCTGCCTCTACCTCCTGTTTACTGGGTGTATGCCACCATGCCAGACTTTCCCATTTTCTTAGCATTACTATAAAATTAAAATAATCCCCATTCTTCAATCCACAACTGTGCTATATTAAGGGATTCCTGACAAAGAATATAAAACATTTTTGAACAAAAGGAGGAATAAAACAAGACTGGCATACAGCGGGCACTTGGTGATCATTCATTAAACTGAGTTGCCTAGGGTGACAGGAGAGATGCCAAGGCCTAGCTAAGATTTTAGATTCTGAATTTGCTGTGCTAACAATCTCCAGGGTCAACTTTTTTTTTTTTTCGTGAATGGTAGCTGCCCCAGTCTTAGAGCACTTAACAGAGATGACTTACATTGTCACTGGTCAGGATTCTCCAGGTGTTTTACGACAGCAGGACAGGGGTGCCAGGTTTAAGGTGTTGACAGGTGTGTTAGGGCTGTGGAGTTAGGCTGGACAAGGATGGTGGAGCTAGAGGGAGGCTGCTAGAAGGAATCCAGAGGTTGAAGTTCTCAATGGTAGAGGGATGGTGGCACGTAATCAGCCCTCCTGTGGAAGGGAAGACAACTGACATTTAACAATTTAGTCATGCAAGTCAGTCATTGGTGATTAATGACTTTTACTGTAGATTCAATTCTTTGTGATTCTTTCATATTTTTTTCATGAACTAGTAAATGTAGATTTTTTTTTCACCAAGGTCTTTTATATTATTTAAACATATAACTCAGCTGGACCTGGTGGTACAAGCCTGTAATCCCAGCACTCAGAACACCGGGGCAGAATTACCATGAATTCAGTGCCAGTCTGTATTACATACAGATTACCAGGCTACCCATAGCTATATAGTAAGACCATGTCTAAAAAAGAAAAAAAAAACCCCATAAGATAAATAGTAAATTAAATAGTAGATTAAAAATAAAAATATAACTTAGTAATTAAAGAGAGTGGTCTAAGTCAGACCATGAAGAATCTTGTATACCATTTTAGGAATTTGAGCTTTATTCCAAAGGAATTATTGAAGGGATTGGTTTAGTTTGAAGACTATGTAGCCCAGGTTGGTATCCAGCTTGCTGTGTACCCGGATATGGCCTTGAACTTCAGGGCTTCCTGCCTCCACCGCCTGAGTGCTGAGATTACAGGTCTGTGCCACCACTTCTGACTCTCTCTCTCCAGAGCTCCATGGAGGAAGTGCCTGTTCTCACTATTTTCTCATATAAAAACATTTTTCAACAGGGCTGGAGAGATGGCTCAGTTCTTGCCGAGAGTTCAGTTCCCAGCACCCACACTGGGTGGGTCATAAACGCCTGTAACTCCAGCTCCAGGAAATCCAATGTCCTCTGCTGATCTCCGCAGGCACCCATATGCATGTATGCATACACACACACACACACACACACACATATAAAATAAAATCTTTATCCCACATTTATTATTCAGTTAGTCAAGGTTTAAAAGGTACGTGTGCATTATTGTTGATTCTTATTACCTTCATCCTCAAAAGGCTAACCCTACTGAGTAGTTTCCTAAAGCCAGGTATTGGCAAGAAAGTGTGAATCTCTAACATATTTCAGACCTTCAGGTTTACACATGATTCCAGCTCTGATCTTTAGAAATGTCTGTTTACAGGCCTCCTTCTACATCAATGTCAATACCAATTGCTGGTGAGTCTGAGTTTCTGGAAGAGGACAGAAAAGGTGGAGAGACTCTCAAAGTTCATCTTGGAATAGCAGGTATGAATGTGTCACTTACTGATCTCTTACTTTATGAGAAACAATACTACTTTATTTCCTCAGAGCTTCCTGAAGCTTGGGAGGCTAGGAAGATGACTCAGTGGGTAAAGGCGCTTGCTGCCAAGCTTGATGACGTGGGTTTGATCCCTGGAATCCACATGGTGAGAAGAAAAAACTGATTCTCTGACCTCCACATGCATACATGCATGTCCACACACATGCACATGTGCGCACACATACACAAAACTGTTAAAAGAAAGCAGTGATAGACATACTTCACTGGGTGTGTCTCCGCCCACAGACACAAGAGCCACCTGATTTGTCCCATTCCTCATGCTGGGCATCCTCAGCCAGCACTTTTCAGTGCTGCGTCTATTCTAGAATCTATTTCCCTTCTCAGTGCTTTCAAGCCTTCTTGTGCATTCCCCTCACCTGGAGGGCTTGTTAAATAAAACACACTATTAGCATCAGTAGCTGATTTGGGATTCAGTAGGTCTGAGTTGGTTCCCTAGCAATACTGACACACTGGTCCCGAGCACACCTTGAGATCCACTTCTCTAGGCAAACTTCCAGCAAACGCAGAATGTGTTATGGTTGCCAAAAGCAGGGCAGGCAAGATGCCAGCCTGGCTGGAGGAAAAAGGTCATGGGAGCTTCCTTCTACCTCCCAAATGATGGGAGAAAAATATATAGTTGAAAAGGAAGGTGAAGTTAACATTAACTTAAGGATTAACATCTTCACTACCTTTTCAACTATGCAACGATAGGATTTCTTGATTTTGAATCAGCTAATCCTTTGGCTACTTTTAACCTTCCTATTAGCTCCTCCAGCATTTAAATATCCTGAGTTACTACTTATACTGAGAAAATAAAGAGCAACCCCCTATTAGTCCTACATCATTCTGTAACTTCTGCCATCCTGTAGACTCCAGCAGTCTGGTGTTGGCCGTCTTGACTAAGAGATATAGAGAGCCAGGTGTGGTGAGGTATGCCTTTAATCCCAGCACTTGGGAGGCAGAGGCAGATGGATCTCTGAATTCAAAACCAGCCTGGTCTACATAGTGAGTTCCAAGTCAGCTGGGGCTACAGGGAGACCCTGTCCCAAGAAGACCAAAATGAGAGAGAGATT